CAATCCTGATGCCACGTTTTCCTTCATAGAACCCAGCTTCTCGTATTATTTGCTTAGCATACATATTGAACAAGAATGGTGAAAGAACACAACCCTGTCGCACACCTTTCCCAATTTTAAAACATTCAGTGTTCCCATGCTCTATTCGAACAACTGCCTCTTGGTCCAGGTACAGATTTCTCAGAAGTGCAATTAAGTGTTCTGGAATACTCATACTTCTCAATGTTGTCCATAGCTTGTCATGATCCACACAATCGAAAGCCTTCGCATAGTCAATAAAGCAGAGGTAAACATCCTTCTGATATTCTCTGCTTTCAGCCAAGATCCATCGGACATCTGCAATGATATCGCTCGTTCCACGGCCTCTTCTGAATCCAGCTTGAACCTCTGGAAGTTCTCTGTCAATGTATGATTGTAGCCGTTTCTGTATTATCTTGAGCAAAACTTTACTCTGCTATAATTTTCTCTGTGCTTGTCTCTTTCTGTTTTGGAATTCCAGTCACCCGTAAGTTGTTCCTCTTCATGGTGTCCCACATAATTCCTAGTCTTTCTTTGGATTTTTTTCTTTTTTCCCCCCAGATTGTTCTTCTAGCATACTAGTATTGAGAGATTCATCTTCAAGCTCAATAATTTGGGCTTCCATTACTTTGCATCTGCTGCTTTGCTTTTTCGATGTATTGTCCATTTCTGAGATCTTAGTGTTAATCTTCTGGATTTCTAATTGCAGGTTTTGTATTGTTTCAAAATTTGCATTTAATTTGTCTGTTTGTTCTTGTAGAGTTTTGCTGAATTCTCCCAGAGTTTTTATTGTGTTCTCCTTGATCTTTCTATTTATTCTTTGAAGGTACCTTTGAAGGTAATTATCATTCTTTTGAATTCTTTTTCTGTCAGTTCCATTACCTTTTCTTCCTTAGAAATGTTTTCTGGCTCTGCATCTTCTTGGTCATTTGTTTGAGCCATTCTCTCTTGTTTCTTTGTGTAAGCTAAAATTGTCCATTGTCTCCAGGGCACTGTAGGGCTGTCATATTTGTAAAAACAGTACAGTTGTTGGACCTGGAGTGGGAAAGCCTCTGGGAGCACCTGCAATTCAATAACTCACAAGGTGGTTGTGGAAGGGATGTGATAGCAGAGTTCCTGACCCTAGATGGAATTCCTATTGGCTTCAGTGTTTAGGACATTCAATCCCTAAGTAGTTTGTGGTAGTCCTTAATGGAGCTGTTTCAGTATCTGTTAGGACCATAAGGAAGCTGGGAACAGCATGACTAGCTAAATGCTGGTCTGGTGGCTCTGTGGGTTTTGCTGGTCTGGAGCCAAGCCCACCTGAATCCATCAAAGCAGCATACCAAAGCTCTGCAGTCAGTTGCCACCTCACACTGTTGTGGCTCCCAATCACATGGCTCCAAACTCTTGGAGAGCAGGGTCTGTGCTGGATGAGGGTGGTAGCTGGCTACCCTTCTGGTCATCAGGAGAGCCTGGGGAAAAAGAAGAAATCTCACCTTTTCCGTTGCCTATGCAAATCTGCTCTGCCAGGCCTCCCTCTACTGCCAAAGCTGTTTACAAGAAGGTTGAAGAGTGTCTGGTCAGCTGTTCACAAGTCAGTCTCTTTCTCTTGCCTTCCCTGCTTGGCCTCTACTCCCAGAAAACACTCCATCCACGTCTCTAACCTTTCTACTGATATTCAGGGTGCCAGAATTTTCATCTTTCTGTTTTATTTTGTCTCTCATATCTTTGTTGTAGAGAGTCCATTTAATGTGTCAGCCTAGTCCCACTGAATGATTTAAAATTAAGAAAGGTGTGCAACAAGGTTGTATTCTTTCACCATACTTAATCAACCTGTATGCTGAGCAAATAATACGAGAAGCTGGGTTCTATGAAGAAAAACATGGCATCAGGATTAGAGGCAGACTCATTAACATCCTGCAATATGCAGATGATACAACCTTGCTTGCTGAAAGCAAAGAGGCCTTAAACATTTACTGATGAAGATCAAAGAGCACAGCCTTCAGTATGGATTGCATGTCAATGTCAAGAAAACAAAAATCCTCACCACTGGACCAATAAACAACATTCTTATCAATGGAGAAAAAAACTAAAGTTGTCAAGGACTTTCATTCTTCTTGGATCAACCATCAACACTCATGGAAGCAGCCATCAAGAACTTGTTTTTAAGTGACTATTAGAGCATGTTTGTAAGTTGATGGGAATGATGCAGAAAAATGACATTTGTGAAGCAGGAGATTAAAAAAATTTAAAAAAAAAAAAAAAAGGGACGATTGAACGGTTAAGATCCCTGAGAAGACTAAGATGGTTAAAATTCATTGCATTAGTGGAAGGATTGGCCTTAGAGGTCTGGGACCTATCTGTCACAATAACAGGAGTTAAGGCATGGTGATGTAGGATTAGCACTGAGCTCCTAAGCACAAGGTAGGTATTTCAAATTACTAGCTGCATCTCGGAAACCCTGTACAGGGTTACCATGAGCCAGAACTGACTTGATAGCACTTAACAACAACAACAACTCGTTTGGTCTGTGGGTCTAGTGTAAAATGAAAATGCAGAACCTCCTATTAAAAAATTATTAAGAATTCCAAGACTCCTCCAGCAAAGCATTAAACCAGGCGCAAGGGTCTTCAGGCCTGGAACCCTGTGCAATTACATAGTTTAGATGCTCAGGAAATCCTGGTCCAATATGATGACGGAGGTAAGTTTTCTTGGGCAAGTTACTTTTTTCTGGGCCTTAAGTAAGTGGAAGAATTTGAAAAGATGATATGAACCGTTTCAGCTGTACCGTTTACACACGCTGGGAAAAAGGCAGAGAAACAAAGTTTGTTCCTTTTTAACTTCCATTCCCCAACAGATTTGTGCCCAAGGTTTTCTGGAAGGCTCCAAAGCATCTGGTGACCATAGCAACTCACGCCAAGCGCCCTAGTCCTGGGCTCCGCCCACTACTTCTTAAACGCGCTCGTTGATTGGATCAGAGAGCTGACCAATGGTCGGCGAAGCGGGCTGTTTACCGCACGGTCAATGGCCGAGGGATCGAAGGAAGGCGGGAAGGGAAGGGGAGAAGGCGGGCCTGGGCGGTGCTGCACGTGCGTATTTCCTGCTCCGCAGCGGAAGGTAGAAGATTGGAGCCGTTGGGTCGGACGTGATCTGAAGGAGCTGAGAGCGGAAGGCACGAGTGCAGAGCGCGGATTTCCGAGCGCGGAAAGAACCGGCGCTATGGGCGGGGAGCAGGAAGAGGAGCGTTTCGATGGCATGTTGCTGGCCATGGCGCAGCAGCACGAGGGTGGCGTGCAGGAGGTAATCGCCCGCGCGGCGTCGGCCCGGCCCTGTCTAGCACCGCCCGCCCATTCAGGAGACCCCAGTCACGCTCTCTCAGCCATTCTTTGCCTTCCAGGGCCGAGAGCCACTCCTGGGCCTGACTGGTTTCCGGGAACCCCCCTACGTTCTTATCACTCCAACTTCCGGTCTGGCCTCTCAGCCTGCGTGTCCCACTCCTCGGTGTCCTTCAGTAACTTCTAACTCAGCAACTGTGGCATCCCTGAACCCAACCTTTGAAATCTTTTCGATCCCCCTTGGTCTAACTCATGCTTCCAGCCCCGGACCCCCACAGGCGTTGGCTCCCGGAGATATCCCTTAGGACAAGCCATGCCAAACTTTGCGATTTGCATCTACCAAGATTGGAGTGAGACGGTGCCCGGTTTGTGTGTAGGATGATGTTAGCACATGGTCTTTTTAGGCTCTGAATGAGGGAGTAGGAGGCCTGCACTCTACCTGGGAAGCTTGGAAATTAACCACCACTCCAAGCCTGTTTTCTTATCATTTGAAACAGAGCTGCAAATCCCTATTTTCCTGAATTGTAGGTGAGTGGTATCTTAAAGTGAAGAACAGCAAGGAATTTTAAAGTATCAGACTTGTTCATTCATTCAGTACTTGAGTGATTGATAGGGCCAGAAGCTGGGCTGGGTTTTGTGATACAGCGGTGAGCAGAAGCCTGCCCTTGCCCTGATGGGGTTTTGAAAAAAATGCATGATCCATGTTAAGTAACCACATACAATGTATGCAGTCTGTGGATGGCTTGGAACAAGGCAGTGGAACAAAGTTTGTTACTTTTTAAATTCTGATCCCTACGAGATTTGAGCATTATTCTGGAATTGTTTTTTTGAAACAGAAAAGTAGAAAGCTAGAGGGTGAACAGTCTGTCAAAAGCAGTCCAGAACTGTCATTTTATACTTGAAAAATGGAGGCCCAGAGACTCCAGACCTCCTCAAGACCAGACTCCTTACAGCATTGCATTTTCCACAGTTCTGTGCCGATTCCATTGATTGATTTCACCTGGGGCAGGTTCTCATTGAAGTGTCAATTGGAGTTTTTTGGCCCAGGTACCTGTTGTGACCAAGGACTCCCAAGCCCTTGAGGTGGGAAGGGCATTACTAATTTGCAAGTGTGGAAAGGTTCCCCTTTCCCCTATACCCTGTAAATTATTGATACAAAATCAGATTTGGAAGTTGGTTCAGTTTTTGAGAGAATTGAAAACATGTCAAGAAGTTTCAGTTCCTGTTGAAAGAAACTGTTGAGATAAATTCTGGCATCAATTTCGAACCCTGGGCTATATAAAATAGCTCAAACTACTAGCTATGTTTAGTAAGTATTTTACTGAACAGTTACTCTGAGCTCAGTGTGATGCTGGGCATTGGGGAAGTAGAATAAGTTTAGGATCCCTGCTGTGAAGAGTTCACTCTCAACCAATAGGCCCAATCCGTGCCAGGTAGTGCTAAGGGCCTTACTTTCTTTACCTCATTTTATCTTCACAAGGTCCCTAGAAATAAGTCCTTTAGCTTTCCCTGTTTTACAGAGTTAAGAAACATCCTCAAAATCAACCCAGCTAGAAAATAGCGGTCTGAAACGAAAACGCATGCTCTTAACCACTTGGCTGCACTGTGACCGCAGAGTTAGTTGGTGTTGACTTTCTTTGAAGTGGTTTCATGTGCTCCCTCCTAGTTCTGCCCAGGTGGTTCAGCCAGAGCCACACTGGATAGGCTTTTCACTTTCTGGAGAGGAAAGTTGGGCCCATGCATATCAAGCCTTGGACACAAAAGAGTGAATGTAGCACCATAAGAAATGTGAAACACATGAGCATGTACAAGAAATGAGACCTTCCAGATGCTCGAGATAACGTTAGGCTACACTTCTTGGTGGGAGTGATAGAAGGGACTTGGAGGAGGGCGGTGGGTGTCTCAGTTGAGAGGCTCCAAGGTGAAAATAGTTAAATCCCAAGTTCCCTCCTAGACTAAGGAAGTTGGCTTCTATTCATTTGAGGGCTTCCCAATATGGCATCTCCATAGGTTACATTTTTTCGTCTTTCAGCTTGTGAATACCTTCTTCAGCTTTCTTCGACGCAAAACAGACTTTTTCATTGGAGGAGAAGAGGGGATGGCGGAGAAGGTGAGTGTTGGGGGTGGCTGTTACTTGATCAGATTTGTCTTTTCAGAAAAACTGCATGGCTTTCCTTTGATATAATATTGAACTTAAACGGAAGCAAGATGCCAATGGCATGGAGTCGGGGAAGGGAAGCAAACTAATTTATTGAGGTTCCTCTATTAACCAGGTACTTTATTCACCCTGTTTCACATGGTCCTTTAGCAGTTCTGCAAGAGTAGGTGTGGGTAGTTGTTACTATCCCATTTTACATACATATGAAAATTGATCTTTTACAACCGGAAAAATGGTCAATTCTCAGAAGACTGACAAGTTTCAGACTGACAGAAATTAAAAAACATTGCAGGGATGTGCAACAAAGGATATTTTTAGACATTGCTAGTCAAAGTGAATTTCTGTAGCTTTTTAAAAATTATGATTACAGAGTATTTTAAACATAACCAAAGGTAGAGAGATTAGTCCTGTAATCCTCTATGTAACCCACCCTTGGCTGTAAACATCATTGATTTGTGGCCATTATTCTTCAGATTAGTTTGAAGCAAATTCCTGACACATTTTGGATTTGTAAATACTTTGTGATTATCCAAATAGAAACGTTTTATTGTGAATTGAGTGAAGGTTTACATTTAACAAATCACGCACTATGATTTAACTCAATGATTGCAATTCCCTCCATGCAAAAACAGTTTTCCCACTTCCTCCCTGTGGTTCCTATTTGCATTCCATCCACCTTTCCATCCCCTCTCAACTTCATCCTTAGTAGGAAAATGTTGCCCTTTTGATTATGAATGATTGGCCATTTCATGGTGAGCATTCCTTACTAGTGTTGTTATTCCCCCTATAAACGTATCTGCTGCTTGGCTAAAAAATTGAGCCATGAGGTGAGTTCCTTTCCAGAATTGGAGGGTGGTCCATGGTCTCAGGTTCCTCCAGTCTCTTTCTGATCAGCAAATCTGGTCCTTCTTTATTTTTTTTAATTTTGCATTTTAATCCACATTTTCTCCCACTCTGTATGGAGCCCTCTAACATAGCTGCAAACCTCAAGGTCAGCAGTTTGAACCTACCAGCTGTTTTGCAGGAGAAAGATGAGGCTTTCTGCTCCCCGTAAAGATTTATAGCCTTGGAAACCCTGTACAGGGTTGCTGTGAGTCGGATCGACTCCACGGCACATAACCACCACCAACATGATCCCTTTTCAGAGTAGTTGGTAGTAATAGCTGGGCATCATCTAGGTTTTCTGGACTCTGAGTCCTGGAGACTGATGTTCACATATTCCATTAGTCCACTGGACTCATTCAGTCCAAGCCTCTTCAGTTCTTATTACTTTTCTTTCTTCCATGCTTTCATCGGTGCATGGAGAGATCAATAGCTGTTATCTTAGAACATTATCTTTGTGGACTATGTTATGTCATTTGAGCATAGTCTTTTTAGAACATTTTTATCACAAAGAAAAAACGTTGTATCTTTTATCTAGCCTCCTTCCACTCTCCTCTTCCCATTATTCTCCCAATCTTTGTTGTGTCCCTTTGAGTTGATTCCACCTCATAGTGGAACCACCCAGGTGGTTATGTGCCGTGGAGTCCATTCTGACTCATAGCGACCCTGAACAGGGTTTCTGAGGCTGTAAATCTTTACTGGAGCAGAAAGCCTCCTCTTCCTCCCTCAGAACAGCTGTTAGTTTCGAACTGCTGACCTTGAGGTTAGCAGCCTAATTCGTAACCACTACGCTAATAGTGACCCTGTAGGACAGTAGAACTGTCCCATAGGATTATATATATATTTATTTTTATTTTATTTTTTCTATTTATAAAATAAAGAACAGCTTTATTAATACAAAAAATATAGACAAACTATAAAGCACTAAGAAACTTAAATATCGAAGTCACAGCAAGCAGGTGGCAGTTCAACATCCAAGGTTGACAGAATGCTTGAAGGAGACTGCAAGAGATCAGATGCCCATGTCAGCAAGGGCATCTTCCCAGGTGTGGGGGGACCCACGTCTAAGAGCTTTGCAAGTTCCCTCTCATCAAGGATCATGAGAGGCACTCCATTCAAGGGGGGGAGGTGTGCAATCTGGTGCTCTTCAGGTAGGTCAAAGCTCTCAAAGTCTAGAGGATTGAAGGGAAAGAATTTTTCTATTTCTGGATAGGTGTCATCCACCGCAGGAACAGAGTTTTTGCTTTATCGGTCTTCTCAGTTACCTTCTTGGCAGAGAAGTTTGGCAACTTTTTGCTTTAAGGGGTCCATTAGTCTTTACTGAGTTTTTTGTAGCTCTGTTGACAGTTCCCAAAGCCTTTCTGGCAGGTTTAGGTAGGGCAGATGGAGCATCAAATATTTTACCAACATGTGATGTTAAAACCTGAGATCTCCCATCTAAGGCTTTGACGAAAGACCCAGATCCCAGATTCAGCTCATCCTTAGGGGCCACACGCGTGCCTGGTTCTCCATTCTCCTTATCAACAAAGATCAGAGTAGCCATTCTAGATGACTGGATCTCAACAGTCAAATTCAGCCCCATGGGATATTTTTTTGAGTCCTGGTGTGGCGCTTTGGGATAAAGCACTCTACCACAAGGTCACTTTGAACCGCAGGGTTACTATGAGTCAGAACCAGTTTGATAGCACTTGAATAACAACAATAGTCTTTATAGAAACAGATCGCCACGTCTTTCTTCCACAGAGCAGCTGATGAGTTCAGACTTCTGACCATTTGGTTGGCAGCTGAGTGCTTAGCCTTTATGCCAGGACTCCTTTCCCAACCCTTAAGCAGCTCGTCATTAATCCATTTTCTGTCTCAGGAGATTCTGGACTTTCATATAAATTGAATCATATACTGTATGGTTGTGACTGGCTTTCACTTAGCATGGTTTCAAAGTTTGTTCATTTAAGTACTTCATTACTTTTCTATTGCTGAATAATAGTGCATTGTATGAATATGCCACATTTTGTTTATTCATTTGTTCATTGGTGGTCTTTTGGATTGTTGGTGCTGTTTGGCTATTATGATTAATCCTGCTTATAAGTATTATAACCGTTTGTATATCTTTGGAGAAATATCTATTCATTTTTAAAAATAGTCCATTTTAAAAATTAGGTTGTCTTTTTATTAATGAGTTGTAAGAGTTTTTTTATGTAGTCTAGATATAAGTACCTTATAGGACTCTGGTGTGACACTGTAGGGTCAGCACTGGACTGCAGGCCACAGGCTCGGCAGTTCAAACCCACCAACTGCTCTTAGGAGACTGTATACAGGGTCACTATGGTCTGAACCAATTTGATGGCAGTTAACAACAGCAACAAGTCCCTTAGAAGCACAAATGTTTTTAACCTCATGACCCATGGGACATATGTTGTTGTTAAGTGCCGTCGAGTCTCTTCCAACCCATAGCAACCCTGAACAGGGTTTCCGAGGCTGTAAATCTTTATGGGAGCAGAGAGCCTCATCTTTCTCCTGCAGAGCAGCTGGTAGTTTTGAACTGCCGACCTTGTGGTTTGCAGCCCGATTCGTAACCACTACAGTACCCGAGCTCCATGGGACATATATTATCCACTAATATTTTCAGCTTCTCAGGTTTCTTAGGAAGCACATATATCCCAGTTACATATGCTGCTACTTGGTGGGGACTTGTAAAACTTGGTGAGTCCCCGGAAATGCACCTCATCTTATTAGTCCTATCACCAGAGTCTACTTGGGACATGTGTCCTCACATAATTGTATCAAAATTCATAGTTCCTCAAAAAATGTTTTACCTCCTTAATTCCAGCATTTTTCTATTACTGAAATGCTTGGTGTCAACAGAAAATTCAAAACAGAAAACAGTGTGGTCTTGAAAATGTTAATTTTTTTTTTTTAATGATAACAGTGTGTCATTTAATAGCTTCAAAAATGTTATATGTGTGGAGTCCTGATGTGGTGCTATAGATAAGCACTGGACCATAAAGTCACTTTGAACTGCAAGGTCGGCAGTTCAAACCCACCAACTACTTCTCAGAAACCCTGTACAGGATTGCTATGAGTAGGAATTGACTCAGTGGCGCTTAACAACAACATACTGTATATAATTAAAATTAACCACCAAATTTTACTAATTGAATTAACCAAGTATCTAAAATCGACTAGAACATGCCATCAGCGGTGTGGGTTACCACTGCAGTTGAATTGAAAATGAAGTCATTTAGTTGGGCCTGGTGGTTAATTTTGATGAAATCAAATTTTTCTTTGGCTGCTCAGGCTTTTGGTGTCATACCTAAGAATCCTTTGCCATATCCAAGGTCATGAAGATTTACCGCTATGTTTTCTTAGAGTTGTATCACTTTTGCTCTTAGTATTTAGGTCTTTGATCTATTTTAAGTTAATTTTTGTAAGTGATAAAGAGGTGGAGTTCAATTATATTTTGCATGTACGTGTCCAGTTGTCTCAGTATTGGTTTTTGTTGTTATTTCCCTATTGAATAGACTTCACACCCTTGTTCAGAATCAATTAACTATAGATAAATGTTTTGTTCCTGGACTCCCGGTTCTATTCCATTGATCTGTATGTCTTATCCTTCTAAGGAGCACACTCCTTAGAAGCCAGGATGGCCAGATATAATCTCTCATACTTAAGACCTATTATCAGAAGGGACCACTCCCTGGAGAAGGATATCACACTTGATAAAGTGGAGGGTCAGTGAAAAAGAAGGCCCCCAGTGAGATAGATTGACTCAGTGGCAGCAGCAATGGGCTCAGGTGTGGCAATGATTGTGAGGTTGGCACAGGATAGGGCAGTGTTTCGTTCCGTTGTGCATAAGGTCGCTAATGTGTCAGTACTGACTTGATGGTACATAATAACAACTGTGCATAGGGTTGCTATGGGTCAGTACTGACTCGATGGCACCTAACAATAACAACAACATAATGTCTGTCCTTGTGCCAGTAGTATGTTGTCTTGATTACCGTTGCTTTGTAGTATGTTTTGAAATTGGGATATGTTAATCTTACTTGTTCTTTTTTCCAGTATTCTTTTGA